AATTTTGAAATTCAACAAGTACGAAATTCTATGAATTACGACAAAACAGCCCAAGATATTGTAGTGTGCTAATAATAAATTCGAAAAACTTCACTTATTAGATGAACCCAAAGCTAACTAAACTATGGATTCCATCTTTTTCTCTTATTACAATGTGTAAAAGATCGGAAACAAAATGGGGTTGCAAATCACTTGATATAAAATGATTATTGTTAATTTTACATCAATAAAATTATTTGCAACCCTATTTTGACTCTGATATTTCACGCTAAACAAACCATTTTGGCATCAGTGTCTTTCTTCCAATTAAAACGAGTGGCAAAGTCAAATAAGGAAGCATATAGATGAATTATTTGTTGCTAAACTAAAGAAACTATAACATAAAGATAGAAAAACTATATCTCAATCATTTTAAACAGAAAAAATATTACTTATACTCAATCTTCGCAGTTGGTGATATAGTGCAAACACCACTATTAGTCTAGAAAGACTTTAATATTTAAAAAAATCAGTAATTGCCTGCAAGGTCTTAAAAAATATTTTATACTTAAGTAAATGTAGAAAATTAAATAGGTACTACAAAAAAGTATTTACTTGAAAAAAGTATTTTGAAAATACGTATTTTACATTTAGCATTTAAAATACAAAACGGAAATCTATTTCGTATTTTACATTTGAAGTAACAAATCAAAAAACTATTTGCATTTTATATTCAAATACTTTTAAAGAACCATTTTGCCCATCTCTGGATTATACTTCCTAGGTAAAAGGTTTCAAGACCCTACCTACTATATTAAAAAGCATAAGGAATGGTCAGACGAAAAAGTAAAATTTAATAATGATTTGTGTCTGCTGGTTACCAACGAAATGAATGTCCTTATTACCATCAACCAGACCATCACCATCAACAGGCCCCGACAGATACCATCACGTAAACAACACACTGCTTATTAAACTGAATAATATTTTAACGGTCATCAGACGGACGCCTGCCTGCCGTCGCCTAAACGATAGTGTGAAGCAACCTTTACGTTGCAAAACTGGTGTCCACAAAAATTTTTTATTTTAACGAAATAATGTACAGTCTACTCCTATCCTGAAGGTCCATTCTGGACATTGGTGAAAGTCTTTTTAAAATCGAATGAATAGTTCGGAGACCACAACTTTAAATCTTACAAACTTTACCCTTTTATACCATTAAAATAGATTATTTATCAAAGTTTGGCAACTTTTTATTAAGCAAATTTTCCGCAACGATATACCACAGACAAATACAATTTTAAAAAGGTATAATTAGAAAGAGAAACAAACAGTCTCCACCTGCAAATAGTCGTCGAAAGTCTTTTTAAAAAGTTTATGTTCGACACATGTTGTAGGTAGATAGTAGGTACTACTAATACGATATCCAACACTAGTATAGTATGTTGGATACGAATCGTGTAAATACATCACACTTAATTGGCTTGTTGGAAAGTTCATTATTCCTAATTAACGATACGAAGAGGTGCGGATGCAGAGATAAACATTTTTTTTTGGGATCACAAGGTCGATCAACTTCCGCATGGTGATATTTTCACTTTGGTAAGCACTGTCGAAAAACTGTGGTCGAAGAGTACTATGCCAAGGCAACCCTGACATGCTAAAGCAATTGACTGTTCTAGTTTTCTGTTTATATTTACCTACCTACAGGTTCACCTGTGGAATTCTTATTAGAAGTGTCACTCACCCACACGTTGCGTAATATTTTAAACCTTGAAATTGTATTAGTTATTATCACCACACGTATTGCTCGACATAGACATTCTTAAACAATTATTATTTAATCTGAAATATTGTTAAATCAGTATTGAGGTTTTAGAAGTAACACGTCACCCAATGAGAAGTTTGCGGCTAACTTCCTTTTCGAAAATTCCTTATCATGTTATAATGAATAATAAAATGTTTAAAAAGACACAAGATTTATTACGAGGATGAATATTCTTGAAAATTGCTTTCTAAAAAGAATGAATAATTTATTGAATTAATTTTAAGATTCAAAATCTCTTTCGTAGTGAACCAAAGTTAAATATGGAACTTGCATTTTGAAGAACGGTAAAATGAGACTATTTTATCAAAATTTGTCCTCCTTTAAAGTTGATTCTCGTCACTCGCCTAGACCTCTAGACGATGGGTTACAAAACCACCAGTCAGATATCCAGATAAATATTATTCAGTTTAATAAAAAATGTCAGATAAAGTTTTTATTCCATGAATCTCTCATTATTATTGGAATGAACGAGCATGAATAAAATATGAATCTTTTAAAAAATATCGGCAAATAAAATTTAAGCGTTGAAATCTTCAAAATATAGTAATATTTTCTTAAAAATTTTTACGTAAAAGAAAATTGCTTTTTAGATCGCTACATTAGTCTGCTATCTATGTTAAGAAAATTGTTTTGGATGGACGATGGAAATGTCAAATATAATGAGTTCATTGAATATACTACGAAACAGTAAGGCAAATATTAATCATGACTTTCACATGCATCTTCACAAAAAGAACAGATTTCCTCTTCACAAGCCATTAAATCAATTCATAATTTTGCCCACACACACATATATGTCATAGAAATTATGAAATTTTGTAACGCAACGTCCTCTAGTTAACTACATACTTTCCGTTTCAAATTAAAATGTTACATATTCAGTTGATCGAAATAAATGACAATGATAAATTCGTAACGAATGAAAACAAAATATCGATTTGTATTACCTATGAGATTACATTAATCAACGTAGAGTATATTGTTGAACTTTTTAAAATGTTTTGATTGTTAAATTGCAATGTAATATATAGTACGTCAATAGATGAAACCTTGCAATGATTCCGCTGTTGTGAAGAAGAAATATAAAAAATAAATTGCTTTAACAAGTGTAAGTAAATGGATAATGATGTCGTAACTTTTGAAAAATGCAGACAACAACAACCAGACAGGCAGTAAACTACAAAGCGTCCTGTTTGTTAACAGAATTTTCATTGAAAAATGCCTGAATAAGTCACCAATATCAACAATTCTATTATCATAAGTATAATAAGTAGCAAAGTGTCATAAAGAAATTATAGATGAATATTATTACCCTGCTATGATGTTGGTAATAAAAATTTACATATTTTATGCTGTAGATAACCCTGAAGAAAGAATTGCCCTTCTGTGTAGGCAAAAACAAAGCAATGGCATTTTCTAATTAATAAAACAAATTATTCAAATATTCAAGCACATCCACTCACCCACATGTTTAAATGCTTTCAATAATGACCCATACGCTTTTTCTTTCCTTTGCATCAATTTGAAGAATTTCAAAGGTCAAGGGAACCATAAATGCAATGAATTTAGTTTATTTTTGTCACAATATAATTTGATTTTACATGAAGGCAATACTTTATCAAGTACGCGTACATCCATCAGAATAAAGGTTATGAAACCGTATTCGTAGCAGTGGGGGGGACAAAGGGGGAGTCAAACCCTTAACTACCTTTGGGTGTTTCATTCCCACCAACCACTAAAGGCATGTCCATTAGTAAACGTCGATGCTCCGGACTAAGCCGGAAGGTAGGGCGGAATGGGTGGGTGGTGGTTCGGGTGAGAAAGATCAGACGGACGAAATGAAGACAGAAGAGAAGGAAAGATTAACTGTGGAATATTACTACCCCAGCATCTCCCTAAGTGATCCAAGGAAAATACAGAAAAACTTGGACCAAGGCAGACGGACTCAGAATCGAATCGACGTCCTCCCCAATGCTAAACAATTCCAAAAAATCAGAATCAAAGTCTTTATGTACACCCTGTCACGACCAAATTAAATAAAAGATCTTACATAATAGTGAAAATAAGGAGGGCGGCAAATTTAGGCTTCGCCCAGGGTGGCAGAAATTCACGCTGCGCCACTAGGCATAGATATGATTAGGGGTTCCACATTTTTTAGTTTTTTTTTTTTTAAATGTATTATTCTACTTATTCATACGGAATGAAAACTCAATTTAGAAAGGTCGAACACCATTTTGGTGGACGTACTACCTACTTACGATCTGATTCGGATCAGTCAGCTTCAATAATTTGACCGGGTTCGTAGGCGACCGGCCTAAATATCACGAAATCTTGATGATACTTACACAAAAATATTTACGTACAAACAAATACAATTGTTTCAATTATTCATTTATTTATCTGACCTGCATCACAGAAAACTTCATATCCTACGTATTGTGTACGTCTAGCCCACTTAAAATTGGCTAGTTTAAAAAACCACCCACACTTGTAATGTATCAGTTACCATTGTGCAACTTCAGTTTTATTTTTTATGGTTCTTATATGTCGCAGTTATTATATTCCATAATGTTGCGCTTTTATTATTCACTTGATTAAATTACAATAATTCTGTATTGTATTGAGGTTACTACCTATACAGATTTGAATATTTATGAAACAATTAACTAGTCGATTTATAACAATAATCCTGTGTCATAATTACATAATTGCGATTATGCATATGAGTTGTAGAAAACGCCTTGCTTTTTTGTAATTGTTTTAAATTGTCACAGGCGAACTCAATTTGAATATGGTTGTAAATCTAACATAATTTGGCCGTTTGCATTGTAAATGTAAATCGTGCATTAAAACTAGTACCATGTTATCCACAGATTAGGTTAGCCTGCATCTGAAAACAATGTCGTCTAATGAGGGTAACAAGTAAATGTTGGAAAATTATGTCATTCAGTTTATCAATACGTAGAATGTAACGAAATATATCCAAAGGTTATGACTTTGACGCCTCCCCTTCCAAAGTTTCGAAAAAATTTACAAATATTATTGAGGATCTTATTCTCAACGACGTCCACACGATGATAGATAGAATTGAAAAAAAGTTTTGTTCCCTGTTTGTTTCAAATTCCTTTACTACCTACAATTTGGGCTGAATATTTACATATTATAAGTAAATTTTGCCTATATCCAATATTGTTTAGAAGTTAGAAATCTCTGATAATAGATGGAGTTGCCATCCATTGGTCTGACATACGTGAACATAAAGCACAACAAGATGGCCCAAATGCATTTCGAAAATGTTGAAACCATGGATTTCTAAAACACAACAACAAGTCATTGGTGCGAAGCCAATACTTAAGAAATCACATTTTTTATATTAGTTTGGACTAAATTTCGTTTTAGGACACCTTAAAATAATCATAACCTAACTTTTACCTAGCGTAATGTTAAAGTTAGGTTATGGTTATTTTGTTAGCCTGGTATGTAATTGGATTGATTATAACTTACAAAAAGATTGCTTTGGGGCCTTAACTTTCGACCTTGGCACTAACTTAGACCCTAAAAAGCCCCTAATATAACTGATTTAAAAAATATGAATTTAAATATTAAAATTTAGCTGGTCTTTTAGCATAACTTCCAAATAGTAGCTTAATTTAAATAAAAGAACAGTAAATACTAGAATCGAACGGATTTAGTTACCTACGTGGAAGGTCAACTATTACCTATAACATGCTATTATTTATGATGTGATATAGAACATTCTGAATATTCTGTATTAAGTAATAAAACGGTATACTTAATAGATAAGTGTAATTTCAAAGAACATCGAAAATTATGTACGTATAACGAAAACGAAAGTGTTTCAAATCGTTTCATAATACCATAACTGGTTGATATTGACCTTCCGAATTATTAGATACCTACCATTATCTAATTTATGACTCTATGTCACAACGCTGTATTGCGAATACGATCTCGTGAAATATGGACTGAAAATATTCAATGAATCTAGCGCCGTATCGTTAAATATAATTACAGGCCATTAATTTTTAAGTTTTGGTGAAGGCCTCTTACTTCATCTAACATTCTGATAGAACGGATATTCCTACTCACTCAGGCTCTTGTGAAACTTAATCAAATCGACCACTGGAACCCTGATCATTTCTGTTGTCATTAAACATGCAGGATGTATAAATGAAAGGATTTGAAATATATAGGCAATATTATTTTCTTCTGAACTAGCCTTAGATTTTGATATTTAGTTATTTATTATGCCTAGTTTATAATGCAAGTGAATGCAAATTTTAATTCTTACTTGTTCCTTAAAAGGGATACATGATCCCTTACAAAATCGGTACGAACGCACTCTGTTTTTGGTAAAGATCAAATGTTACTGATTTCTATAGAATGGCAAGTCAAACCAATGAAAGACATTTCAACTGAAGATGTTGAAATCAAAAAGAACGCAACTGTTAACCGAAACAATATGGAGTATTACCTAAATACGTATCAAATAGATTTCGAGACGATGTTACTGCTGACAGTCTACCCTTTTTTATAATTATTCTATACGTATGCTTAAAGACCATGAAGTATTTGCCAGAAAGAATCAAATCACTGTTATAGATTGTTTAGGATAGCCAAGAAGAGTAAAAGAACTTTTTCTTATTTCAGAAGAGAGCTATGAATATTTTTTAACAAAAAGATAATAATCAAGGTCAATTCTTCTGTTCTCATGCAAACAAAGACTTCCATTGTTGTAATTACTGTTTGTTTCAAGAAGTTAGAGATATGCCCCTTCCCTTTATTAGGATGCGCCGTAGCATAATTCCAAATTCAATTATATTTGTCTCCACCGATCATCGAGCGAGAACTAGACAAAAGTGTACAGTACCATTTGCAAAATTATTTAAACTGCCTCGTTAAAATTTAAGAATATGCTTTATTTAAAAGCATATTTAGCCAAAAATAATAACAAGTGAATTAGCTTAACGTTCTGCATACCTATAAAACTTTTGCTTTGTTTTCTATTATTAATTTATATACATTTTTGTTTTAAGAAATTACTAAACATTTTTGTCTAGTACTGTACAGTTCTAGCCGATCTCCTAAGACCGCCCATCGAGAGCTCTGCTCGTTCAAGCTTGTTCCAACTATTTCTGTCTTGCTCACGCCTAGTGTGTATTCTTTTTATCTTCGTGCAGATTTCTTCAAGGTTACAATTCAAACAAATTGAAATGGACTCTACCATCCCATTGACTTAGGTACCATATCCATCTATCGAATGAACACACATACGCACAACTTTTACTTTTAAAATGTTGCTAATGTATCAAAGATTTTATTGATTGCTGGCTTATACCTATTATTTTCCTTCCTGTTTGACATTTATGGTATCAAAGTATACTGTAACTTCACAATCTCGTACCTACTGATTTATTCAGTTCTGATATAATGAAGACATTTATATAGCAATTTTGTCTTTAATAATACACACGTGCATTCCTATTCTTTACAGCTTTATAGCCTATAAACACCTACGGTTGTTAGATCATCGGTTAACAATTTAATAAGAGTAGACAATAGTATACAAAATATGTTCCCAAGTCTACATAACTATGTAAAAGAAGTAACATCAATAGCATATTATCTTCTTTTTTGCTTTTAAGATAGTAAGTATCCTTACTAGTTAATTTGTTTGGAAAATCGGTGAAATTTGTACGGGGTCTAGATGGGTAATCTATCGAAATGTCTACCCAATTTTGGAGTGTTTCACCGATCAGTAACTGAGTTATACGCATTTGAATATAAGAAAATTTACATGGGGAAGAAGGCGTAAGAACTCATATAATTTCCCGTACGACATTTGCAACTCGAAAAATACTCGATCGGATAATTTTTGAGATATAACGTGCTGAAGACGTTCGTGATTTTTGTCATGGATGTGAAACAATACGAAGCGATACGGCAACACCGCAACGTTTCTCGCACAAGCGAATATTTTCCAAAAGTAGATTTATTATATTAACCAATAAATCTATGAATATAATATTATTATGAAATATTGCAGCAACTTTGGTTGTTTACCAGCACTTGACTCTTATAATAGCCGCCTGCTTGTTTTCTCAATATGACCACATATGGCGGTAAGTAGCCATCTTTGTGACATACGCGGCGTTGCCGCGATCGCCGAGTTTTATAACAAATTCTAAATGATTTCAATCTTTTCCTATGTCTGTGCAAGAAGTTATACAAGTATTTATTACAGAAAGTATATTTTATAAGGTGTGAATAGAAAGGAATTCTGTGTAATCATGTAGGTACTCCTTTTGGAACAATTAATTATAGCAAAACAACGAAACTAAACCCGATCGACCTAGTAATGACACAAATATCGTTTAAAATATTCAATTACCCAGAACTTTCTTCCACTTAGGCGTGTTTTAAATCGAAGTCTGGGGAAATTACTGCCTAGAGCAATCGAATGCATACATACGTATATCTATGACATCTACCTACTTTCATCGGAACAAGGACCATTTTTTATACAAAGTGACGGAACATCTAATACATACGTATATAATGGCCTAAGAAAACCAAATAAAGCTTTAGTATCTGCCTAAAATCAAATTCGTCAAGTAATACACTGTCTAACAATGAATGGTCAAAGTGTGAATATCGACTTCTTATTTGAATAAGTCTATATATATGTTTGGTTATAATCGTAGTGAAATATAGATTGTTGTTTTCAGAAGAATATTTTCAATAATACCGGCACCTACCACTTCAGAAAACAATTACACGTAAATCAAAAACTAATAGCATTTAAAGTGAAACTTTTTACGAAATGTTTAATCTGTTTACCATCAGAATTTACTCTAAACTTCGATACTCACTAGTGCTATCTCGTGGTAACGCATAGAAAGTTTCTATATTGACACATTTTGGCTTTAAATGAATTTAATTTGTTGTATGCAGACTAAATATTCTAATTTTATATAGAAGCTTTTCAAACTTTCAAAAGAACTTCCACTTTAAAAATGAACACAGTTGTATCGTCGTATAAGTACCGGTAGCGTCTATCAGATGTAATTTGCTAATCAGATGAGAAATCAATTCAAACAATAAATTACCTCAGTAAAAGTTAAAATAAGCCATTTCAAAGTATACGAGGGTGGATTGATAAGTTTCCGGCCTAACCAAGAGATGACGCCACTAGGCCTACCTTGAGGTGACATTCTATAGTACCATCCTTGGATAGCTTGTAGCTATAGTTTCAGCCCGATCTCCTTGCTAGTGTAGGTTTGACAGCACGCTGAACAAGACGCCTCTGTGGTTTTCGTAAAAATGGAAAAGCAGGAAAATCGTGCTGTCATCAAATACTTTTATTTGAAGGGGTTAACGCCGAAGGAAATTAAAAAAGAGATGGACTCAACACTGGGGACATCCTCCCCGTCATATTCAACCGTTAAGCAGTGGGTTTCCGAGTTTAAAAAGGGTCGTGTGAGCACCTCTGATGGGCCTCGCTCAGGACGCCCCGTTGAGGTCACAACTCCAGATATGATCGAAAAAATTCATCAAATAGTGCTGGGAGACCGCAGATTGAAAGTGCGTGAGATAGCTGAGACCTGTAAGATGTCATATGAACGTGTGCAACATATTTTGCACCAACATTTGCATATGGAAAAGCTCTGTGCAAGATGGGTGCCGCGTTTGCTAACAGTCGACCAAAAATTGATTCGAAAAAACATTTCTACCGCAAATTTGTCATTGTATAAGCGTAATCCAAGCGAATTTTTGCGTCGATTCGTAACCGTTGACGAAACGTGGGTCCACCACTACACTCCTGAAACCAAAGAACAGTCTAAACAGTGGATTGGACCAGGGGAACCAACTCCAAAGAAGGCAAAAACAATTTTTTCGGCGAACAAGGTTATGGCTACTGTTTTTTGGGATGCAAGAGGTATTATATACATTGATTACCTTGCAAAGGGTAATACTATCACTGGTCAATACTACGCAGACTTATTGCAACGTTTGAGCCACGAGGTGAAAATTAAACGACCTCATCTGGCGAAGAAAAAAATCTTGTTTCATCACGATAACGCACCAGCGCACACGTCAATCGTTGCGACGGCTAAAATCAACGATCTAAAGTTTGAATTGATGCCGCACCCTCCTTACTCTCCAGACCTAGCCCCGAGTGACTATTTTCTGTTCCCTAATCTCAAAAAATGGCTTGGCGGTAAGAGATTTGCGGACAATGAAGAAGTAATCGAAGCTGTAAATGGTTATTTTGAGGAGCTTGACGAATC